AGTTATAGGAGCTACTGTCTAAACTCCTAGTATGACCCTTAGTAACCCTATGATAGTCCCCTATATAATCCCCTAAATAACGCCTTTTAGGGAGTTTAGACTATAGCTTACATAGGGAGTGGAAAATGGAATGGGAACCAACAGAGTGTTTGAGGGGTCGGACATGACCATTGGATGTGGGGTGTTTGTTGGTAGCGATTTGCACTGTTTTGCAGGAATGGAAAGGAAAGTGGTAATCATTTTTAGGGTTTACGGACCCAGGAGGTTTAGGGAATGGAAAGAGATGGAATCTGCGATTTTATGGGCAATTAAACTGTTGTCCCCTCAGTCCTAGAAGAAAGAAGACTTTCAAAAATGTACTTACGGTTCTGCTATAACAAACATGAAAAGCGATTCCTAAGGACACTGCATTAAATAGCGGCTACTATAGGGATCCCTTTCTCTATATATGCTCTACGAACAAGCTAGCAAGTCCAGGGGCTTTCAGGGTTTAGCGGCTTTAAGGGTTGGAAGGCTTTCGAATAAAGAGAGTTTTTAACCCCTTTGAAGGACCCCTAAACCCTAAACACTATACTTCCCTATACAACCCCTAGAACCTTCGGGAGTTTGAGGGACTTTAGAGAACGGAGGGTTTCAGGGTCTCAGGGCTTGAGGGCTTCAGGGGTATTACCTAAGGCCCCCAAGACATGTACATTTGCGGGCAGTTGTAGAAGGAGTTACAAATGCCGTATCTGGAAGTTTGCCGCAATCCTCCTGGTATCATTCTACACTTTCAGCGTTCAGACTCGAGGGTGGGGTGTTTCAGGTGTGAAGTCGTGGAAGGGGGATTTTGATTTTTGGCTGGGCGGTCAGGGTTGTGGATTCCTTCCAGTTTAGGCCTGGTGAATCTGGAGGTCTTGGTTCGGGACAGGTAGACTCATTGGCCAAACACCAGTGCTCTCTACATACATATCTACAAAATATGTATCTCTATCTCTCTCTCTCTCTCTCTCTACTTAAATGTGCTAGAACCTATACAGAATATCAGTGGTTAGAGCCCGTGCAGGATCTTAGGGTTTAGGACTTGGCGTTTAATCCAAGCACTACATTAATAAAAGGGACCACATTTAAAGCACGTTTTTTGGGCGGAATTAGCCGCCAAAGACTAGCTACAATTAGGTGGCTTTTCGAATGGGGAAAGGGGACCACATTAAAAGCATTTTTTTGGGGAACCAATCCTGAAAACAGAGATGTTCAATACATTCCTATGCATTTCTTAATTACTTTGGTCCAAGAGCCCCGATGACGCGGGAATGCCTTCCTATTCTTTGTTATTTGAATTCCAGGAGCCCCAATCATCCTTTTAATCTGGCGCCCTCAATTTCTTATTCTGGCGGGGGGGAAGAATGCACGACTCCTATCAGGTCCAGACCTCCTATCAGGTCCAGACCACCTACAACGCCGCTAAATGACATTCGAGGCTTTTCCCAGTGAGGAACGCTTCCCAGACCCCTTCAAAACGAGATCCCCTACATAAAGCCCAATTGCCTGCTATAGTTCCCATATAATTCCCCTATCGTTGCATGGCATCCACTTGTTAAACCCTTTTGGGGGTCTGCACTCCTCATGAGCCTGCGCTTCACAACTTTTGCCGCATCATGTACCGTCCCGGTTTAGAACACCGGCGTTCTCAAAGATCCTGGCCACATCAGCAGGCGTGATTTTGGGGTTCTCCCGCCCATGCAGGCCGACGATGTCCTCAATTCCCGGGCTTCTTGCATCAACTAGCATAGAGGCGGCTATGCAGTTTAATTTTGAAAGATGGGGGTCCCCAAAAAATAGGGGTACCCTTCTGGCGATCTTTATACTAAGGATTACATTATTTAGGGTCCATATTGAGTTGCCCCTATTTAAAGGAAATGCTGTATGTTCATGGCTATTTCCTATAACCCCTACAAAAGGCTTTGGAAAAAGCCTCAGATCAAAAGGCAAAGTGTCAGGTTTGCAGCCGCACTGTGCCAGGCCGTTGATGAAGCCCTGGGAGAACTTCCACCAGTCTGACTTGCTCGGGGCCACGCCATCGAACCTGTGCTGGTCTCGTCAAGTTTGGAGGACTATAGTAGTTTCCCTTTTCTTTTCCATTATCCCTATATACCCCCAATATACTATAGTAGTTTCCATTTTATTTTCCATTATCCCTATATAACCCCAATAATATGTCGAAGACCTGGGGCCTATGCATAGGCTGGGGTTCTCAAGAGCCACGGGGCCCAGGGGCTCCCGGGATGTACACGTACAAGGATTATCAGTCAAGTGGATTGTGGGGATGATATAGGGATAAATGATAAATGCGAGGATCTTCCAGTTTTCTTCCACACAAGACACGAGCACCAGGCTTCGCACGCCAGCATTTCTGCGAGCTTTTGTCCCCTTGGGTGTGACGAGAGGCCTTTACCAGAGGAAGCGCGTCAGCTACACAGAAAATTCGCTTTGACTGCGTGGGCATGTGTTTGTGGATTTGGCTGAAGGTCAGGCTCTGGATACAAATCCTTAAGTTGCGGTTGGTCCGCAAAACACTTCGTTGGGCTCGTCTAAACGGATCGCGGGATCCCGTTGAATACCGTGGGTTTCGGCGTCCATGTAAACCGAGACAGTCTAGACACTGAACCCCAAACCACAAAGCCTGAAGTTTGAATCGTAAACTCGCCTCAAGAACCAACCATCATCCACAAACAGCTTCCTGATTGGGATCCTACGAAAAGCTACAGCTATGTGTTCTATATAGAGCTTACTTAAAATCATCTTGGGATGCTGTCACAAACTATAGGTACGTATGTCTTATTGGGTTCGTATCCCACTTTTCTTACCAAAAAAAAGCCCTAAACCCTAGACCCTAAACCCTAAAACCCGTGATTCCACACGGCGGAGCCTGGGGTGACCTTCCACTTTAAGGGACCCCTGAACCTTAATCACCAACCCAAAGAGCCCATGTAGCTACATCAATATATACTTAGGGCCTACAGGGGTTCCCACATATTTACTTCAGGACCCAAGTATGTATGATCCATCTACATGATCTATAGTCTAAACTCCTAGCATCCCCCTTCAGAATCCGTATGGTACTCCTCAATATGATCCCACATCCAACTCCCCTTTAAGGAGTATGTATTAGGAGGACCCCGCACCCTGTAATAGTAATATAGTAGGAATATAAGAGGACCCTAATATAATCCCTATGATCCAGTATAGTCACTATTACTGGGCGGGGGGTCCACCTAAAGTATACACCATACAGCTACATGGACCTTGTAGTACTCCTCAATATGATCCCACATCTAACTCCCCCTTTAAGGCCCTAAACCCTAAATCCTAAATAGAAGATAGCTACATGGACACTTTGGGTAGGCTTTAAGTCAGCCAGGGTGCATGGAGCGCTTGCGGAAGTTGTCGGACTCGAAGGCCAGGCGGTGTAGGCTGGGCCTTGATGCAAGAGCTCGGGCTTTTCAAGAGCTGGGGCTTTTGAAGGTTAGGGTTTAAGGTTTAGGGTGTGAAGTTTTGGGTTTATAGTCCTCCTTAAGTAGATAGAATATGGCTTTGGATATATTACAATAAGATCCCAATACACACCCTATTCTATATACTTAAGGGGGACTATAACGGTTTAAGGTTCCACCTTATGGTGTTGGGGACTTTTGTTCCAAAGGTTGTTGAGCGGCACTTGGAGCTCCAATAGGTGGAGGTCCTGGGGCTTGAGATTGGATCTTGATGCTTTCTCCGGTGTTTCTCTGCCTTCTCGTATGAGCTAATGTCTAAGCTCCTAGTATCCCCCTAACCTACCCCTACAATACTCCCCTATATACTCCCCTCTATAACCCCGTTTAAGAAGCTTAGACTACAGCTCATATGGTTGAAGAATTGGGCACACTCCCACAACACCTTCCCTGCCTTGTTTTTGGCAGGGGTCTACACTTTCCTGGTAGGAATGAAGACCTAGGTCGGCACATTGCTAAGCACTGGTGCTGTCTATGGTTGAACCTAGAATCCTTGCTATAACTCGAAGCTTCTTCTACCTGACAAGATAAAATGAGAGACATCAACTTCGAGGGACGTGGACATGTCGCTCAAACTAGCAGGCTAACATCTCAGGATCAAGGCTCAAGGAAAGCCTCCTCCGCTCTTGACAGACCCTTCAAAGGATCCGAGCAATCCATGGGGCCAGGACTGTCTTAGGTTTAAGGTACGCCTTGAACCTATTATATACGGGGTTATATTAAGATAATGGAACATGAAATGGAAATTACTATATTTTAATAGGGTATATCGCGGGGTTATAGGGTATATATTGGGGTTTGTTAGCAGGGAGCGGAGGAATGAATCCCCATGGAAACTCCTATGCCATCCCAAATAATATACTGGTTTGGATGTGGGTTTGCCATTCCATCATTCCCCACTAACCACTGACAAGTAAAACCCAAACAACTCAATGCTTCGGATCCGCTGGGGGGATCTGGGTAGCTGCTTCGTCTGCCTTCTCACTTCTTGCAGGCAACTGCTTCCCTACCCTGAAGGCGTGCGAGACCTGGCACACCTTGGGTGGAGGTTAATACTGGAAAGTCCAAGATGTAAAATGACATGAAAGCTGGTATGATTTCGGAGATTTAATTGATGGGGCGAAGCGTGTAGGGTCTTAAGGATTGGAGGCTTCGGGATTGATTTGCGCGGAGGGTTTGGTGTTTGGAGGGCTGGAGGGCTTCTTCGTCTTTTCTGGACAGGGTACCAGAGTCAGGGCCACAAAGTGAATTCTGGATCAAGGCGCTAAACGGCTTAGGGCTTCAGGTACGGATGTCAGTAGGCTGATTCCCATAAAGCTTCTTGCTCTTCTCCCTTTCACGACAGTCCGTGGCACTTAAGAGGAGTCGCATGCTAGACTTACCATTAGGAGGTGACCTCAACAGCACGCAAAAGACTGTCCTGCAACATGGCCATGCTTCCATCAACTGTGGATGGTCTGGATGGGCCCATTAATAGTCATAGGACTGCTCCATCTGCTCATAGGCCAGAACCATGGCCAACACCAGAGCACTGTCCACACCTGGAGGGATCTCGACCAGGTAGTCATTGCGATCAAACCTTGGCGGGGCTCCTAGGGCTATATGGGGACGATGTAGGGCTTGGGGATGTTTAGGGTTTATAGATGCAATCCCAATAATGGTGAGTCAAACGGAAAATGACATGGAAACTGGGATTCTACAACATCAAACTGCCTCATGGCTGTTCTTACTAGCCTTGAGGCTCTACCTAGACCTAGTGATTTAGGATTTGCGCACGTTTTTCAAAAGATCCACTGTGTTGGACGGTCTGGCATCTGTTAAACTGCTGTACAAGTTTACAACTTGATGCAAAGCTGACCTAGGAACTCGTCAGGCAGGAAGTCTTTGTATGTAACGGGGCTGCAAACCTTGGCGATGGGCTGCCCTGTCCTCAGTCAACTTTTGGGGGGTGGGGTTTAGGGTCAGGAACGGAAAATCAGATGGGGAAATTGAATCAAATTGGGGGGACATAGGCATCTCTGGGGCGTAGGGCTTAAGAGAAGTTTATTAGTTTTGGATTGAAAGCAGTACTTGCACATAGTAGGAGAACGGAGAAAGGTTGAAGTCGTAAGAGCCAGCCAAGTGACTTCTGATCACCAACCCATATGCCGCCCTTCATGCTCACCAGTGTCATCTTGCCCTTGAGCTCAATAGCGTCTCCCTTTGCGTTCTTCAGGTTCTCCTGAGCCAAGAAACTTGAAGGTAGGGAGTCGTCTTTTTGAACTGCGTTCCTACTATGAAAGCAACCTGACAAATCAAATGACATTCGAACTATCCCCTCTTCCTGATTCAAAGAAAAGCTGCCGTGTATTGGGAGGTGTTGCCAAAATTTGAGCCGACACGGAAGATCTCAGTCGTGGGCTTGCCCTCGGAGTCGGTGGCATACACGTACTGTTTATCCTGGGTTTAGGACTTAGGTTTAAAGATATGTAGGTAGAGAAGGTGTAAGGTTTTGGGGTTTAGGGTTTCGGGTTTTTGGGTTTAGGGTTTAGGATTTAGGCTTTCTGGTTTAGGATCCAGGGTTTGGTGATGTCATGACCCCCAAGGAGTACAACAGCTACTACCGCTAAAAAACTCCGGTGAGCTTCTGGTATTCCCGCAGAGGATTACTTCTATTTTTTACTATTGCTTGTATCCAAATTACTACTGTTATTGCTAGTAGGATAGTTACTATTACTGATTTTCCGATTATTTTTCCCGAAGAATGTGCCACTGCAGACCATGAATAGCTTGAACACCTCTTTTCATCGTTTTTCTCGATGGTTGAAGGTTTAGGGCTCAGGGTTTCTATATCCCCATAAACCCTATGTACTCCCCTATGGTTTTGGAGATTCCTGGGCTCTTTAGCTCCCCTTATGATATTGTTACAAACCATCCCCAGCTCCTTAGCTCCCCCCAAAAATATGGGCAATATGACTCCGATATGCAAGACTATTGATACCAAGCTTCGTCCAACTGCATGACAGGCTCTTTGATGACAAAAATAGGAGCCCCGTCCGCATCGCAAATGACACGCTTGTTATCAAAATTCAGGAACTTGCCAAGACATTGAAAAACAACTTTGCTCGAGTCATTTGCATCCACAATCTTGTAGCTGTCACCGCTGAACGAGAAAACCTTGGCCTTCAAGCGCAGCATCATATTCTTTCCCTCAGGGACGATGAACTTTGAGTCGAAGACCTGGAGGATTAGATGCAAAGTCGTGAGACAAACGGATGGATGGATAAAGATAGCTTGGAGACCTCAACACTGAAACTAGCATATCTTACGCCCTCAAAAGACTGCCATAAGGTCGCAATTTTGGGGCCCTAAACCCCAAACCCTAAACCCTAAGCCTGTTCAGAATGCTCTTTGCCGGAATCAGATCAAAGAGGAGCCTGCCCCGGTTAAGGATCTAGGTTTACCTGCCGGTGGTTAGTTGGGAAGGAGGGAATAGAGTCCCAATATGATCCCTAATATGATCCCTATTCAATATATTCCTTTATTCCCTACTAGCCCCTTCGTTTTAAGGTGTGTAGGGCTACGGCTGAAGGCAATCCTTTATGCCAGACAGTTGCTCTCGGAATCATTACCATTTCACCGTTCCAGGGGTAAGCCTACATGGCCTTAATCCAGGGCCCTGTTGAATTGGAAAAGGGTTTGAGGATGCTCCCCATTAAGTACTTCAAGTATTACCATCTCACCATGCTTGCAACTATTCACCTCAACCCTAAACCATGCTTCTCCTTGAGCTTCTCGATGTCAGCATTTGCTGTCAGCTCGATGGGAATCTCTGCTGTGGAAGCCGCGCAACCCATGTTCCTACAGTCGAGGGTCTCACGTCTAACGTAGGGGCCCCTGGTATAGGCCTGCAATCTTGCGGTCACCATATACCTATTCTACACCTGTATGAGTGGTAGGACGTCAGATATAGTTGCAGTTTATGGTTGGAGGGGGTCAGGTGCAGGGCATGGAGCATGCGGTTCCACGCTCTCGAGATGATAGGCCACGTCTGTGAGCTCCTGTTACCTTTGGCCAGTTTAAGGCGAGGTTCAAGAAAGGCGGACAAGCTACAGCACAGCTTGACCTTGCGAAACGCCGCTCTCTGAAAAAGCTTGAGCCAGCGCTGTCAGGCAAACTCGCTGAAGCGGGACAGGCGCACTCTCCAAGCAGGCCTGACATGACCCCGAACCCAAAAAACACCAGGTCCATAAGCTTCGAAATTGCAACGCCACGATGAAGATCTCAAGAGGAAACCTCCCAACTTCTGCCTGAGCTTGTACGGCCTGCTGGCCCAGAACCTCAAAAGCATCTCAAATACAGAACTGCGGTTGCCTGTGCTAGATTTGGTCTGTAGCAAGTTTCAGGTCCCCATTTGAGCGACGCTATGGCTCACTCTTTGCTAGGCAGGCATCGTAACTCTTGCACTTACCCTACACGGGGCAGATTCCGAATTCGCACGAGGAATACCTCGAAAGCTTTTGACCGGATCTCGCCAAAACGGAGTAATGAAGCGTTCCCTGCGCTCTTTGAAGGAGGCCAGGAAACTGTTAAGAAGGGATTAATACCTACCGTCAACCATTCCGTCATTCCGCGTGCTATGAGAGCCTGAAAAATTCGAATCGCCTTTCCTGGCGCCCTATACGAGCAGGCAAACATGCACTGGGAAAAAAAAACACAAAACCCAGCCACCAACGCGTGCTCATAAGAATAACCCTATGTAACCCCTATATCCCTATATAACCCATTATAGTAGTTTCCATTTGATTTTCCATGAATACTAATAGCAATAAGAATAGTAGTAATTTTAGTACCTCTACATAACCCCTATATTTCCCACGCAGAACTCAAGAAAGGCTGAGCCCTGCAAATGTGACGTATTTTCATATTGTCCTTCTGCAAACCTTCCGGCCCTGCATATCGCAACAACCTCGGTAGCACCGGCGGGACCCCAAATTTCTTACAGTTGTAAGACTTCGTCAGAACCGTTACAACGAACAGAAACACTCACCAAACTATCCCAAGTTCACTTCAAACCAACCAAATCCCAAATCTGCCCCACGGCCATGGGCTCCTGGATAGGTGGATCTATAGCAGTACACTGGTCCTACCTAAACATGACAAAGGGGGAATGTAAACTCTACTTCGGATATAAGATTGAGTTTTGTCCTACCTAGACTCCAGGTGCCTGGACCAGGACTGCAGAATGGCGAAGAGTAGGGAGAACATCGACTCGTCCGCCAGGTCCTACGTTTTGCAGTCAGGTAATAATGTCTGGCATTCTGGACTTGACCACCCTAGGGCCTCTCAAAGTATCATCACAGAGTTTGAGCTTTCAGGTGGAGGGCTTAAAGTTGACAGGAGCTAGGATAGGGGATCGAAGGACCAGGGCCCTTTGCTCGAACCGGGCGTATTCAGCGGACCTCCCTGCCATTTCAGAATAGACTCATACACCGCCACGATTCTTTTGTTGTTCGTCTGACCATAACCATGAGTACGAGCAGTAGAAAACAAGTAGTACTAGCTACCTTCAGAGCCACTATGACTGTGTTCTTGAATGGATTATACTGCATTACTAACCCCAATATATAACCTAGTATACTACAGTAGTTTCCATGTCCTTTTCCATCATCTCTATATAATACCAATATACAGAGCTTAATTTGAGGTATTGCTCCTTGGGCCTGATTAACGACTGTCATAAATCCTATAGTCCTATAGACTATAATGTAGACCCCTTCAAAAGGGGCTATATAGGGGTTATATTATTGGGGTTATATTGGGATAATGGAAAAGAAATGGAATCTACTATGTAGGGTTTAGGGTTAATGTAAACCCGTGATTAATAAACCCCCTCCTTGTAAGGGCCTTAATATAAGGATCCCTATTAGAATCCCCATTAAGGGGGAGTTTATTCATCATGGGTCTACATTAAAGAGTCAAGCCCTAGGGATCCAAATTGCCCAAAGTAGGTTGGAGCCCCAAGGTGCACAGAACATGATGCAGAGCGTAAGTTATGCGGCGCCCGGATGCCAAGGGAAAGCTTTGCACTTTTCCTACGCGCTGTGCCTGGTATCGCAAGGTAGGTAAACTTCGAATAGAAGTTATAGATAGGATATTGCCTCGTCAAACCTAGGGGTTTTCGTTACTGGCAGTATCATACACCCCGAATGCTCTAGCAAACCACACAAACCTCAGCAGTGACCAAGTAATTAGGGGCGGATACTTCCTCATCTCCACTCTAGCTTGCACGACATCCCCCTGGTCATGACATCGAGAACCGGCAAGCCCCACCGGCAGGACCAGCTAAATGGCGGATTTGCGGAATGTATGTTCCTTTCTTTGGCTGCCCAGAAGCAAGACACGGTTAGGAAACTGCAGCAAAAAGCGGCAGAAAGAAGATATGGCAATGAACACAGCAGCCCACTCCACCATTGAAAACAGAAAGCCTAAACCCCAGCCCAAGGGACGCCAAGCCCCACAGCGGAGCACTACACGTCACCCCAGCACCTTATCTCTAAACAAAACCTGCATGTTCCCTGCACAACCAAAGGAGACTGACCCAAAGCCCAAAAACAATGCCGAAGCCCAACTTTTCATGCGCCTCGTAGAGGGCCTACTATAAAGATCCATTCCTCCATCCTCTAAAAGGAACCTGTAAATCAACCCTAAACCCTTAAGCCCGTGTATCCCTGCACGCCCAGTTTCCATGTCATTTTCCGTGTGCTTTAAAAAATTTGCTCTTTAACGATCCTCCACTGACAACCAGTAAGAAAAAGTACTGGCTTCGAGCAGAATATTGCGGCCCTCTCTAAACCCTAAACCCTAAACCCCATGCCTCCATTCCCTCCCTAAATCCTACATGGGAGTTTGCCAAAATTAGGTCTACCTTTTTTGAGGGTCCCTATAATCAGGATTATAGGGTTTAGGGTTTAGGTAGAGTATATTGGGGTCTATATTGGGGTCCCCTCATTTTTCGGGGGGAACTACCACAATAGTGGTCCATCTTCTTTTTCGTTCCTGCATTCCCTACTAACAACCAGAAAGCCAACGGGTCCTTCCCCTGGCTTCCCAGGAGTCGACCAACCAAGCCATCCAATGCCTTGTTTACCTCCTGTGCACATGTTTTAGGCTCAGGGTGTAGGCTCAGGGTTGAAGGTTTAGGATTTTGGGTTTGCCCTTAAAGGGCCCCAAGTACCCAAGGATCATATACTCACAGTTTAAGGTTTAGGGCTTACGGTTTAGGATGACCCAAAACTTGCACTATAGCTAGAATTAATGCCTAAACCCTAAATTCTAAACCCTAAACCCTAAATCCTAAACCCTAAACCATCCTAAACCCTAAACCCTAAATCCCAAACCAGGCTTTGGGGGCCTTTGCAGGTAAGCGAAGACCGTGAAAGCCAAGAAGCTTGTTGGGCCCAAATCTTAGCATGAGATGTCTGCAACACATTATTGACTCTGGCGGTTTAGGGCTTAGGGTTTAGGATTTAGGGTTTAGGCCACCCTAAACCTTAAACCGCGGCCATATCAAAATTTGTCTTCTGACTGCTGCGGCTGCTCTTGCAACCTCAGGTGACATTGCCATTTCTAGGCCAGCAGCCTTCCTGGGCTGGCAAGGTTTAAGGTATAAATTTATAGTATAGGGCTTAGGGTTTAGGGTTTAGGATTTAGGGTGAAAGGCCTAGGGTATAGGATTCAGGGCTTAGGGTTTAGGGTTGAGGGCTCAGGGTTGAGGGCTTAGGGTCTAGGGCCTAGGGTTCAGAGCTTAGGGTTTGGGAATGAAGGCTTAGGGTTGAGGGCTTAGGGTTTCGGGCGTAAGT